GAGGCAAAATTCAAAGCAACATCACCATTCATCCCTCTTCAGTCATTCACCTCACATATTTATGGAATATAACACGCCACCGGACTCTGAGGGTTCCAAGATGAATAATCCTATCTTCATGTGCAGACAACTCGGAAAATTACACTGTTTTGGATGCTAGGCAGACAGGGTACCTAATCCAGCCAGGAAGGGAGTGGTAGGCAGTGAGATGTAACTTCCTGGAGTTGGTGATTCTGATCTGAAACTTGAAAGGTAAAGGGGAATTAGCTAGACAGGCAGGGAGGAGGGTGGTGAGGAGATGGAGGGGTGACCTGCATGTGGAACACCCAGAAAATGTTCTCTAGTGAGGGTGGGGGGTGAGGTGAGCAAGATACAAGCACGAGGTTCTTGTTGGGAGGAGAGGATAAGGCAGGGCAATAAGAAATAAGACTGAACTAACTAAGAACCTGATTATCGACAGTCTGTTATCCCTCATAAGGGAACTTAACTTATAGTCCCATGAGCCAACTGGTAAGTAGGGTGCCCCAACCAAGAATGGGAATAAATACAGGAAGTCTGACTCACGAGTGGAAAGGATGAGCTATGAGTCTGCTGCAGTGTGTTTAAGAGACCTGCCTACACTTTGAGGAGCAGCATGGCTAGAGGAGTTGGATGTGGGGAATCAGGGTATGGGGTCTGGTTATACTGAGAACTAGGCCATAGGTAGAGTGAAAAGAGCATTGGAACTCAAGAGCTAACTCCAAATGGGGGCTAATGATAAAGACGCAGAGAGACTGTTGGGAATTGGGACAGCCTGGGGCTGGTAACCTTTCCATCTTGCGGGCCACACGATCTTCCTCAGGCTGTCTCCACCTCTTTCTGCATTTCCACTCCATTCTCTGCTACCAGCCAGATTCTTCTGCATTTCAAGAAAAGATTGGCCCAGCTCATCCAGTCACAAGTTACTGGCCAGTCAGCGTAGTTGGGTGGTGGCAGGGTCGCTGTTAAGAAAGCTTGGCAGCCAGACCATTCTTTAGCGTAGGTGGGGTAGTTCTATTTAGGAGGATCGGCTATCAACTGACATCTTTAAGACACTCATACTCACCGTTGCTAAATCTAGAGTTCCTTCTCGAATCATGCTAAGACTCTCAATGAAAAGAGAGACGATGGCATTAAAGATTGAAATGACTTCAGTTTTCTGAAGACAAGATCATGTGCTAGGAACAAGCGTGCAGCCCAGGTGGGAAGTCTGTGTCATGACAGTTCTAAGTCAAGCCCTTCATTTTTTAATAGAGCTCAGAATGTAGGCCCGTCGTGTCACCAGTCTTCTCTTGTTTTCCCATCCCTGTCTAGCCTGAATGTCCCCCGTTGATCACCCTATCGTGAGGGACACCTGTCACAGTGGAAAAAGCCCGGGCTTTCCACTGCGCTTCTGTGTTCAAATCCCAGTGCTTCCAAATATCAGCTGTGTGCTCTTGGCAAGTTACTTCATCTTCCTGAGCCTCAGTGTCTTCGAGAATATGTATACAGTTCTGGGGGTGCCTGGATGGCACACTTGGTTAAGCATCTGACTCTCAGTGTCAGCTCAGGCTGTGACTGTGAGATTGAGGATCTGAGATTGTGAGATTGAGCCCTCTGTTGGGCTCCATGCTCAGTGTGGAGTCTGCTTCAGAGTCTCTCTTCCTCTCCTTCTGCCCCTCCCACTCATCCTCACTCTCTTTCTCAAATAAATAAATCTTAAGAAAAGAATATGTGTACAATCCTGATACCGTTCCTGTCTCCTTCCTGTCCCCACACCACAGCCATGCAATGTGTGGATTTCCGTGTGTGTGTGTGTACCTGTGCAGTCCAGATGTGGAGCAGACTGGCATTACGGATGCCCACTCCATGCTTAAGGAAGCAGGAGGCGCAGCCGTGTGTGGCTGTCGCTGTTCTACTCGCTTCTCCAGATCCTTTCCTCTTTGTATAGTGTAGAAAGTCTTCCTGTAACTCTATAGCTTCTTCATAGAATCCTCTCTATGTTTTCTTTCTCTAACTGGACTGTCAGCCATGAACCTTCGGTCCCCAAGGGCTAGCTCTTTTCTCCCACGTTCTACCCTCATAGGGTAAAGAGGTGGTGCTAGCATCCTCTTGGTGCCTGGCTCCCACCCTTGCTCATGAAGTCTTGAATCCCAGTGGGCTCTGACACTCCTTGTCACTATTTTGCTACCGTCTGTGGCCATCTCTTCTTGAACATTTGGAATCTATCTGCTCAAATAACCTACCACCTGGATTCAGTCCATATAGAGATTGTCTGCTGTGAGTGCCCCGGTCCCCATCCCCACACAACTCTGGGTTCCCTGTGCTCCTTTCGTAGCTGCTGCCTCCGTTCTCTCTGCACATGCAGCAGAATACATAGCTGTTCTCTTGTGCACCAGGCTCTTTGCTAGGTGCAAATGTTGAACCAGGGTTATGAGGTTTCTACCCTCATTGAGCTTATATTCTTCCCTAGAAATCCTTTCTCTTGCCTATATATGTGTCCCTATACCCTATAAACAATCTGAAGCATTTCCCATCCTTAAAAATGTATCTACCTCTTCCTGTATCCCTTTAGCTACCACCTATCTCCTCATCTGGTCTTCTCCTTCCTTCCCCTGAACAGATCTTTGCCCGCTGCGGTTGCTGCCTACCACTGTCTTAGAGCTGTTGATAAGAAATCCCAAACACCATATCCATTGAAAATTTGCTGTTCTTAGCTTGTCCTGTTTGACACTGTAGAGAACCAATCACTTCTTCCTTAAAGGTTCTCCTTTCCCTTTGCCACCATGACGCAACCCCTCCTTCACTGTCTTTCATTATTTCTCCCCAGTTTCCTTGCATTCTTCTCCGCCACCTTCCATGTATTGTGTTCTTTTCCTGTCTTGAATGTTGGTCTTTACTGCAGTTCCCTCCTCAGCCATCTTTTCTCTCTCCCTGCATCCTTCCTGCATGGCCTTAACCACACCCATGTTTCTGTTCCCACTTTTACATAAGAGGCCTTAGCTCCAGCAGACCCAGCATGGAGCTTTTATTGGTCCTACACTTACCTGCACCCTCTCCCCTGCACCCCTCTTCCCCTGCACCCCCTCTTTCCCTTTTACCCTTTCTTTCTCTCTAGTATGTTGGGCCCTTTTATCAAGACCATAAACCAGGATCTTTTCTATTCAGACCTTTTCTCCATCCTCAAGTATTTCACATTGAGCTGGTCCCCAGGGCCTTTTGGTTACTCCTCTTGAATACTTCTCATTCTCTCTTTCTCTCATAGTGAAGGACTTTGATCACATATTTTCTGAACTATTACAATTGCCTGTTTTTTTTTAATCTTTTTTTTTTAAAGGTTTTGTTTATTCATGAGAGAGACATGGAGAAAGGCAGAGACACAGGCAAAGGGAGAAGCAGGCTCCCTGTGGGGAGCCCGATGTGGGATTCAATCCCAGGACCCCCGGATCACGCTCTGAGCTGAGGCAGATGCTCAACCAGAGCCACTCAGGCTTCCTCTTTTAAAAAAATCTTTAACTTTTCATTTATATAAAATATACAGGGATCTATATCAGGGGCTTATAAACAAATACGTCCCAAGGCAGTGGGAAGATGCATAGATAGAAGCAGATGCTGTCTGCTGGGCCATACAGGTGTGAGATGAGGCAGTGGTGGATAAAGGTGGCATTTGTGGCTGATTGCTCTCCTACTGACACCTTGGACTGCATTTCTGGCCTTATATTCCCGTTATACATTCTCTCCTTTAGCACATTTGTACGTTTCCAAGATCTGGTATTTGCTAGGTTTGAGACATCTTACACAGATTGGTGGGCATTTCTCCAGGAATCCGACCTTTATTCAGTTAAACTATGGCAAGACGGATTTGAAAAAAGAAAAATAAACAGCCCTAACTAATATGTATATACAGGGGTGACTTCTCCAACACTCCCAGTATCTTTCGGGTTAAATGGGGCCTAACCCAAATAAACCGAGCCTACCCACAAAATTAGCCTAGCCTAGAACACACCCAAAGCTCACCGTCTTGTTTTGTTTTTTCTTGATTCTTTATATATTCAGCATTCTCCAGTGTTATCAACATGATCAGAGTAAGCTAATCTAAAAAATAGACTCTAAAACAGAAGCTCAAATATTTTTACCCATTAAAATAAGGTACAGTTAGATCTGAGACAAGGGAGCCAGCTTGTTCCCATCAGCTTCTTTGCTCCCTGGACACCCCCCACCATGTCCTGCACCCTGGCCTGAAGCTGGGGAGCCAGCCCGCATCTTACAGCCTTACCCTTGGAAAAACTCTCCTCCGGCAGCGCCAAAGGCAAAAAGAGATTCCATAGATGTGTCGACCCGCCTGTCTCGTGTTTGCGCCCATCGTCTCCCTGTCTGTGAGCTTGGGCGCATCTGGAAGATGGGTGGTCACCACCCTGGTAGAATGTTAGCCCAGTAGGTGGGAATGGAGACCATCCTTCAGCAATCTACTTTACAAACTGTGTTCTCAAAGAGCTTGCAGGGCTGCCAGTGATAGTTCTGGCCAAGAGGCAGGAAACTCGGGTCCTCTAACCACTGTCCCAGAAGGTGGCCGAGCATTGGCTTACCTTACCACGGCCCTGGTTGTCTTCGCTTGAAAGTGGACACGGCCCTCAGTGTTGGTAGTTTCTTCTTTCCAGAGCCTCCTTGGTGTATCATTCAGGTGTTGGGGTAGCGACATCGGAGCCCCAACCCCTGCCATTCTCGATCCTGTTATTGTCCTGTCCTATCACTTAGTTACCCTTTCAGGCATCTGCACCCAAGCAGAGCACAGGCTCCGTGAGGCCCCGGACTCTCGTGTGGCTCTTGCTTGTTACCGTATCCCAGACGCCCTGCTGTGTCGGGGCTTTGGGCGCTCAGTGCATGTCAGCTGAGTGAATGATTGGGGTGCTGGTCTCCACACACCCTCCAGCCTGGCGGTGCTCTGGGTGTGATGGCAGTGGGTTTCCTCTGCTGTGCTCACATGTGCTCATCTGTCTTTTCAGGAGCCCAGCAGCCGGGGCTGCCATATTACACCGACCCTGGAGGACCGGGGATGAATCCTGCCGGGAATCCCATGGCGATGGCTTTCCAGGTCCAACCCAACTCACCCCAGGGAAGCACAGCCTACCCGCCGCCCCCTTCTTACTGCAATACGCCCCCACCCCCATATGAACAGGTGGTGAAGGCCAAGTAGCAGGGGCACTGCCCAGCAGCTGCCTGTGCGACCTCACGGAGGCAGGGAGGGCACTCTTATGCCACCTCTCTGCCCCCATCAATGTTCGCTTCCAGGAATTGTCTTCTGAGCCACTAATGGCAGATTCCTCTTTGATATCTTCAAAGCAAGCACAGCTCCCTTTCAAGTTTTCTGTGGAGGACCAATATTTGAATTTATTCTGTGTCTCCTCTGTTGCTTCTGTTTCTGATGTAATCTGGGCTCTGGCAGAGTGTGGACAGCCCAAGGGTTGACACCTTAGATCCTCGGGAGAGAGACCGAGGAGGAGGAGGCAAGGCAGGGCCGTGCTTGTGCAGGTGAGCACAGGTGAGCTCAGGTGAGCAGCAGGAGGAGACTGTTGTCTCCTCCCAGGCACCGCAGGCAACTCACAGAATTGAGGCCCCACGGGTCCCCTCTTTGAGCCCCTCATCCTGTTGGTCTTTCTCTCCAAGACGCTGTTAGACTTTTGGTGTAGAAGAAGCTTCTTGCCACTTCCTATCTCATCTTAAAGATGAGAGCGGCTTGCCTCCTGCACAGCCAGGGCTGGGAGAGTGCTGTGTACGTCAAGGAGATGAGGACCCAGAATCAGGTCAAGTTGGATGTCTACAGTTACCCAAAAATCACTAAGGAAAGTTATTTACATTTATGGGAAGTTGCTCCCTGTATCAAACTGGGACATTGCATTTTATGAACTCTTGGTCAGATGTGACAAAAATAAAATGTTTCCCTCTTTTTTAGTGAGTTTGTAGAAGCTCATGTAGAGTGTCCTCTGAGGTCAGATTCAGAGGGTCTTCCCTGAACGTCAGCAGCTGTCTGGCTTTGGTTCCTGACCAGAGGCCTCTGCCCCCTTCCCTGAGCCAACCCTGGCAGTGAGCTGTGATGGACACCTTCGCAGCAGAGAGGCACACCAGCCTGGGAAGTCACATCAGCCCCTTGGGAGAGCGGTGTCTCAGCAGGGGCCAGCCAGCTGTTTTGAGGCTGGGGCAGCGGCAAGCCAGGGCAGCGGTTTGTTTGATCTCAGCCGCTGTGTGTGTCGGGCTCTGAAGAGGAAAAGCTTGCTGAAAGAAAAAAAAAAAAAAAAAAAAAAGACGGGAATGCAAAATCCCAGGAACTGCAGGAAGATCTCTTCAAAAAGTACTGAATAGATATCACTGACAACTTAATCAAAATTAGATAGAAGATGTGGTTGGAAACCCTAGCAAAAAACATCTCTCACCCTGGGGTCTAACAAGTAGTCGCCAGGTCAGTAGAGAAGTTCCGTTCCTCTGCAGTTGATAGTAGTGCTGATAGTACATTTAAGTCCAGATCGAGATCTGAGCACTTGTGTGTAGGAAGGCAAAGCAACGTAGCCACAGTGGGTAGGTCCCTGTGTGTAGTGTGGGGCAGGGCGGGCAGGGTGGGCAGGGCAGGGGCTTATTTTGTAATGAACTCATTGGAGCCTCTTGAGAAATGCTTACTCATTGAACCTGAGCATCAGAACATCTGGCTGGAGTGGACAGTGAGTGTTCTCATGCCCCCAGACCAGGCCATCCACTGGGGTATCGCTGTAGGGTAAGGGTCAGAAGGTAGGGCAGCGCCGCAGCAACTGCTCAGACCTACTGTCCTCGAAAGATGGCGAATCTGCAGCCTCCCAGGGAATTCCACAGGAAACGCTTGGAGCCAAACAAAAACCCGGGGAGACATCGTCTACAAACACAGATGCTGCTGCTGGGGTCTTCGGCCACCCTCGTGTGACCTCCCACCTCCTGCCCCTGACTGCGGTACCTCCCCATCCTCGAGTCCTTGATTCAAATGAGACAACAAAAGCACAATGTTTGCTGTTTACAACCAAGGACGACAACTACGTGGGTCCAGAAGGTTCCTCTTCCTCCGGGTCATTCGTTTTGCATTTTTTACTTCAATTTCTCCCTTCGCTTTTTTTTTTTTTTTTTTTTAAATAAAGAAGCACAGTAAAAGCTGCCCCTGGAATTGGATCGGGGTGCCGTTGAATAGGCACCCAAATATCCATGACTAAATTTTATTTATCTTTTTTGATAGCAAATGATCTGAGACTGAATGATTTAGGTAGAGCTCAACAATTTTGTATTCCATGTTTGTGAAGAAAAATTTTCCCTTGAACCTGGGCGAGAACCCTGCTACAGTGAACACGGATACTATGTGTAGAAACTCCACTCGTGGTGACATTTCCTGGCCATTCTCATTTTGTCTGTGCTGACAGTGGACCGTGTCCCCCTCCTGGAGTGAGTCCAGCTCCTGGTGTGTTGAAGTCTTAGAGAGTCATTGGTTAGGAGTAAACCAGGAGCAGATCTGTGCATGTTTTTTCTCTGCAACATTTGGCTCATTTCTCTTTTTGTTCTCTTTTGATAGAGTTCCATTTCCTATGTATGTAAAAATAAAAAATAAATTTGGGCACATGCTCTGATTGTTTTTCTGGAAAGTGGGAAAGAGGGTGGAGGTGAGGTTTCTTTTCTTGTGTGTGTATTTTTTTATTGGAGTTTGATTTGTCGGCATATAGCATAACACCCAGTGCTCATCCTGTCCAGTGCCCCCCTCAGTGCCCGTCACCCAGTCATCCCGTCCACCCACCCGCCTCCCCTTCCACTGCCCTTTGTTTCCCAGAGTTAGGAGTGAGGTTTCTAATGAGGAAGGTCGTGAGTTCAGCCAGGTGGGGGTGGGGTTGAGAGGGCTGCATGGTGCGCTTAGCCTCAGGAGCACCAGAAATTAGATACTGTTAAAGAATATAGTTTGGTTCCCCAACACATTTTAAAAATCTAGCAAAGGACTGTTGGTGGGAGTGTGACCTGGTGCAGCCACTCTGGAAAACTGTGTGAAGGTTCCTCAAAGAGTTAAAAATAGACTTGCCCTACGACCCAGCAATTGCACTGCTGGGATTTACCCCAAAGATTCAGATGCAGTGAAACGCCGGGACACCTACGCCCTGACGTTTATAGCAGCAACGTCCACAATAGCCAAACTGTGGAAGGAGCCTCGGTGTCCATTGAAAGATGAATGCATAAAGAAGATGTGGTTTATGTATACAATGGAATATTCCTCAGCCCTTAGAAACGACAAATACCCATTTGCTTCGACGTGGATGGAACTGGAGGGTGTTATGCTGAGTGAAATAAGTCAATCGGAGAAGGACAAACATTATATGGTCTCATTCATTTGGGGAATATAAAAGTGAAAGGGAATAAAGGGGAAAGGAGAGAAAATGAGTGGGAAATATCAGAGAGGGAGACAGAACATGAGAGACACCTAACTCTGGGAAACAAGGGGTGGTAGGGAGATGGGCGGGGGGTGGGGGTGACTGGGTGTCGGGCACTGAGGGGGGCACTTGATGGGATGAGCACTGGGTGATATGTTGGTAAATTGAACTAAAATAAAAAAAAAATCTAGCAAAGGAAAAAATGACCTGAAGCAAGTACAAACACAGAGAATTATTTATATAAACCCACAGGCAACACTGACACTAGTTATCCAGGGGTCCTGGATCTGCTTTCTGTAGGTAGAGGAGTCTTGATTGATTGATTGATTAGTCTTGATTTTAAAAATGCAGCTCTTGGGGCACTTGGGTGGCTCAGTCGGTTAAGCATCTGTTTGACTCTTGCTCTTGGCTCAGGTCATAATCTCAGGGTTATGAGCCTACTTAATAAAAATAAAGTAAGAATAAAGATGCCACTCTGTCAGGTCAGAAACTTTCTCTCTCACAGATCTATTGAAGGATAAAGCTGCCACAGTCCGGCTGCATTTTACATGAGTCACTAATCGAGATCGTATTTATAAAGAAGCATTCTTTCTTAAAGCAGGACAGGAAATAAGCCAGAGGAGGTCAAGAAGCTCGCTTGTGGTGAAGTCAGGGCCAATTTACACACTTTACCTGGACACCCCACCAGGTTATCAACTTCCCCCAGTAACTTGAAAGGTCATAACTTGAGATGGCAAACTGAGTGACTGAGGGCTCACGTTTATCTGTTCCTCCCAAAGTTCACCGAACTTCAAAAATTCTATAATGGCTGTCAAGGAAAAAATAAAGTACAAGAACAGAACTTCTGAGCAATTCTGAAATAGAAGATGGCAGGTAGGTTTCATTAGTAGAAAAGACTGAAGCTGAAATGTTTAGAGAAGGTGGCTGGGGAGGTGGGTGAGAGCTTTACAAAAACTCCGCGGTGAGGCCGGCAGGTGCAGAGGGCAGGTATGGGCAAGGGGCATATGCCAGGGTGTTGACCTGAGGGTGTTCTGGAGAACAGCTGTGCCAGGGTGCCATGGCCTCTGCCCCTGGTTCCCAGGTAAGGGGAGCAGCCAACTGCAGCCACCAGTGATGGTGAAGCCTGCTTTCTCACAAAGGGGACTCTCTGCCTTGTAAGGCGTTGGGAAGTGGGCGATTGGTATCATCATTTAATTTTTAAAAGCGAGTTGAGCATTTTCTAATGTGTCAAGTCAATTAAAACATTTCTAGGCTGGGCTGCATCCCTTTTCCACAGCCCCTGGGTCTTGATCCAAGGTCGTAGAGAGATCTTGTGCAAAATGGAAACTCAAGGATGTGAGAACCCATGACCCAGTCACCAGCACCACAGATGTGGAGGTTTTCTCTGGCATCAGAGGAAAGAAGCTCAGCTGAGCTTTCTCCTGACGTGGCGCTACACCAGCCCTTCCACCCAACTGGCCAAGCATCTCTCAGCTGAAATGGTCCTCAGTAGTTTGAGTCCTCAACTTACAGTATTCTTTGAATGCCAAAGATGACAGCACAGAGTAGACGTGAGGGCAAACCACACTGGCATGACCACCCATGGTGGAGAGTCTCCTGGCAAGGCTGTGGGTTCTGAAGATGGACAGCCTTGCTCCGTAGTCCTGAGTCTACGGTTTGTTCGCTGTGAAATGACTTAAGTTTCAATCATTCCAAGATCTCATGTCTGTTTCCTCAAGTATAAAACGAGAACGTGCTGCTTACATCAGGCCTGTACCAGGCACGTTGTGGATAGTCAACAACTGTGGAGAATGCTCCGTTCCCCCATCACTCCACATTTCCTTGAGCAAGAGAAATTGAAGCACAGTGGGAGAGAAAATGAACTCGCACCTAATACTCTGCCCGTCTGTCAGCAGATGAGACCCAGGGTGTAGGGGAGGAAACCCTCCGTGTATTTCCCATCTTTCAAACCTTCCTAAAGGTAGACGACAAACGGGTGCTGCTCAGCAATGGGCGTTGAGCCAATCCGATCTAGGAAGGAGAAATCTTGGGCAACAATGTATTTTCCTCACCGTGTATTTGAGGTTGATGAGCAACCCAGAATGAGCCATGATTCTAAGCAATATTTTGTATGTTCATATTTGGGAATTTCTTTTGCTGTCTCCCATCCCCCAATACAGCTTTTTATCGTCACGTTCCTGTTTTGGCTTGGCTGCCTTGCACTATCCAAGAAGGATCCTGCTCCGTTCCTGGGCACGAAGTCCTCTTAAAAATGGTGTGGTGGGGGCAGGGATGATTATCAACCCGCCTCCCTCCCTGCCATCACCCGTGGAGAGGTGACGGGAGGGAGTTCTCGTGCAGGTCCCAAGAGTGTGATGAGGGAGGAGGAGCATTGCTCTCCTGTCAGCAGTAACAGGAATGCTGGAGAGAGCTGCTTCTGTCTTTCTCTCTGGACTCTGGAAATCACTGACAGTCCTGAGGTGGTCCTGAAACCACTTGCCACGGACCTGGTCCTCGCTGCACAAGAACAGGAGATGGACATCAAGCATGTACCTTTGAGAAGTGCCTGGACACCAGCCTTTACACACAATTCCTCACGTTTTATGGAAGAGAGGAATTCGCATTTTGCTTTAAAGTTTATAAGAAGAAATGCTCTTAGATAGATATTCTAGACCAGGGCCATCCATCAGAAACCTACTGTGAGCCAAGTATGTCATATTAAAATTTCAGTAACTTCTCATTAAAAAATTGAAATTTATTTTCATCATTTCAACATGTAACGATAGGAAATCTTAAAAGAAATACTAACACTCTGTTTTTTCACACTGTCATCAAAATCCAGTATGAATTTTATGCTCACTAGCACAGTCTCCACTTGGAGCGGCCACATCTCCAGGGTGCAATAACTCCACAGCACTGGTGGCTGACTTCCTGGACATTGGGGAGCAAGAGTTTGCATAAGAAAATGGTCAGCTCATATGTTCTTTTTTGTTTGTTTGTTTGTTTTTTTTTTAGCTCTTATGTTCTTGCTGGTTATTTACAACATTCCAGTAAAAGTTAAAAATTAGGCTAATTATAAAAAGGTTGAAGGAAAAATTCAACCTCCTGAGACAGTTTGCAACTTGTAGTGAACCAACACATTCTCTAGGTATCTGATATTGCAGATCACCGTAAAGGGACGGTTGCAAGTCAGTCTTGGGAGGTAAGAGGTTGAATTGCTTCTTGGCGCTCTGAAGGCCGCCCCTGAGGGCTGTTGGCCTCCGTGGTAGCTCACTGTTTCATTCCATGGGCAGTTCTGAAACAGCAGCCAGGTGCTGCTAAGGAACATCCAAAAGAAGAGACAGGTGTAGCGGGGCCCCCAGAGTGCTTCTAATGTCATGTGTCCTGGGCTGGTAGGTGGTGCCAGGACCAGCCCTGAGGTCTCCTCGCCCAAATGTGTACCCAGACGCAAGTCCACCCCTCCTTTAGTCCTCACCAAGTTCCCCAAGGAAGTTTGGATGTCTCTTGCAGGTTGTTATCAGCAACGGAAGGGAGAAAAGCCAATGGTTCCATCACTTCATGCTTGTCATTGTCTGGAAGAACTTTCCAGTGTGACAGTGTGGATGCACAAAGAAATCTAAGATACAAATTGCAGAAATTGTGTCCTCTAATCAGAGTGCTCATCCCTAATTTGCTGCCCACTTTAGTGCCCTTGGACAAGTTTCTCCTCTCAAATATAACAAGGTTGACCTAACAGTTCTCTAGCCCCTCTTGTACCTGACTTCTATGACTAAGCCCTAGAATACAGGTACGGAGGGGGCTGGTGGTGAGGGGGACAGGATCAACAGAGTCTTATGGGTGCTGAGGGCTCTAGTCTCCTGGGCCAGGCTGGCTGGCCCGTATGCTTTGGGGGACCACCTGCCAGGACAGGCAGGCCCGGTGGGGAAAAGCCCTCTGTGCTCGCTATTGCCTAAGTGCCTAAGGGGGTGTCTCCATTCCCTTCTCTGTGCTCCCCTGAGAAGAGGCAAAACCAGGGACCCTTCTTCTAGGTGACTCGTATCCTTCACAGACACTTGGAGGTGTAGTGGGGATACTAAATCTGCTGGTCTTGTGCCCTGAAAGTGTATCTCAGCTCTGGGAAGTCTTGGGGGAAGGCATGTCCACCTTACAGCTCTCTGGCTCTCTCTGCCCCCTTCTCCAGGCCACTCCCTGCTGGCTGAGCCCCAGAACCCGCGAAGGACCC